CCACGGGAATGCCCCCATGGGAATGGCCCATGAGCAGCCCACACTCCCTCCATCTGCCCCAGGCTGGAACTGGGTTACAAAAGGGCGAAGTGGGATCACGTGGATGACGGTTCTTTGATTCCGGCCTCTGCCTCTGGCCTCTTCTGCTTCATGAGGGCTCGATCCCCTCTCGCAGGGCCTTCGCTTTTATTTTTTATTATATTTTATGTTTAAATATATTTTATTGATTTTAGAGGGGAAAGGAGAGGGAGAGAGAGAAACATCCATGACTGTGGGCAGTGGGCAGCGGGCAGCAGGGCCCTCTGGCTGTTGAAAGACCCCCTTCCGTGGGCGACCAGCTGCCCTTCTCCCAGCCTGAGGCTCCCGTGTTGCCGAGGCCCCTGGGCGGGAGCACATTTCTGTAATGACAGCTCGGCCCTTCCGATTCCCACCACTTCCCCGGCCCGGCCCGAGTCCCGGGGGCGTGACCCGCAGGGCGCCTGGCCTTGCCGTTCTCAGTCACGAAGGGCACTACCTGTGCCCCGCCTCTGCCGTGGGCTGGGCGCAAGGCCGTGGGCACTGGCTGTGTCTTCTTGTGGCCCCTCCCAGGGTCTGACCTGGATGACAGCTCAGCTCACAGGGAGCTGGGATTTGCTGGTGGGAGGACCCCCAAGTGGGCGGGCCATCACCAGGCCCCGCCCCCGAGGTGGAGCTAATGGTCTCTCCCTTGGTTGCAGGGTCCCCCTGGCCCCCAGGGCCCCATCGGCTACCCTGGCCCCCGAGGAGTCAAGGTGAGGCTCTCGCGCTGCGGGTCGTCCGGGGTTGGGGCTGGGACTGCGGGCACGCGTGTCGGTTTTCGGGAATTCCTCCAGGGTTTCCCTCCCTGCTGCCCCCACTGGAGCAGCCCGGTCCCCCCAGTCTGCATGGGGGCCTGGGCAGGGCAGGGAGTGAGCCGCGGAGCCGGGAAGGGCAGCTCCGGAGCTGGGACAGCCCCAGTGCGTTTGTGACGATATGGGTGGCGGGATGGAGTCTCCTCTGCCCCGGGCTCCTCATCGCGGGGCTGACAGGCTCAGGGTGCCGTGGGGTGACAGGGGCTCCAGGCGGAGGCCGGGCCAGCTCCCGTCTGAGCCCATCCCTCAGTCTCTCCATCTGGTCTCAGCCCCTGTCCTCGGGGAAAAGCCCAGAACTGCTCAGTTGGCTCTGAGTTCTTGCCGCACGAGGGCCGCTGGCAGCCGAGGGCCCCGGGAGGTGCTGGCCTCCTGGCCGCAGCTCTTCCTGCTCAGACGGCGACGCAGGATGGGACTGTCTGCAGCGAGGCGGCTGGGTTCACGCATCCACGCTGAGCGCTCAGCTGGCCGTGGTGTGGGGCTCGGACCCAGGTGTTGCGAGGGCTCTGAGGTGTGAGCGCTCTCTCTCCCCGTGTCTGTGCAGGGGGCGGACGGCATCCGTGGTCTGAAGGGCACAAA